TACCTCTCATATCACTTCTCTTTTTCCGAGATGTATCGCACAGGCAGACTGATCTGAAGCCTCTATGACGAAAGTGATCTCGGTATCTCGATTTGCCCATGCTTAGTTTCGGCTGTTTTTTCTTGGCATTAACTTCATATTAACCATGCTTTTAAGCAAATGACAGGTGATATTGACAACTGCCATTATCCTGGCTTTTATGATATATCTAACATGTTTTTATGTAATTTTAATTCGTTATTCTTCGTTTTATATGTAGTTTTTCGAGACAACCAGTAGGTGAATTCACTCTATTTCGTTCAAGGTGATAGTTGAATTTTCCCATGATCATATGAATGCAATTTACGTTTCAATTAAATTTCACGTGGCCTTGCTTCCCCAAAAGTTATTCTCACCCAGAATGGGGTGGAGTTCAGTTTCGACATCGCCTAAGCTGGCCTCATCCGCAGACACAGCGGGACTCGAACGATGACAGTTAAGCGTATAATCTCGACATGTAAACCACCACGCCACATTATCGCGAGTGCCATTGGGTCACAGGCCAGTCATTTTCCCATACCAGATTCAACGGTGGCATTTGCTATAACAATCGACTACATTACTCTTTTCTACTATGTAGAACTATGCGATTATCAGTAGATCAAATATGGGAGGTGCATTCACCCTATTTTGTTTAAGTTGATGTATGTACGTTTAAGGGTAGTCTTGAAACTCTACCTATCAACGAAAAATCATTAATGTAGTCTATTATTATGGCAAATATAACCTTTCTTTATTGACAATCCCCCCCCCCGGAATGAATGTGACATGGGAAAATATCTGAACGTCTTAGCAAATGACATCCGCCCTGTCAGGCAATGGTACTCGTGACAATATGGCCGCATCAACATGGTTCGAGTCCCGCCGGGGTGTTGATAAGACCTAGGCGAAGTCGAAACTGCCTGGATGATAATAATTTTTTTGGAGAGAAAGGCTTTGCAAAATTTCATTGGAAACGTAAGGTCCAATCATATACTTGTGGGAAAATTCAATTTTTCCAGACTCTTTGACCAGAGTTTTCACCAACTCGCAGGACCGGGAATTCAGTTTAGCATCGTCGCCTCCAGACGCCAGTTTTCGCCTGATCCGATAAGGTGCGGCTGTGTCTGCGAGACCGAATGCCGATTATGTCGTGGGCAGTCGAGGCGAGTTGATCAGCCCTAACGTGTATGCCTAAGAGAGACGTACAGAGATGATCGGTCAAATTGTGGTATCAAATTCTGGAAGTCGCTTGGCGACGTGATTCTATGCAGAGTAATGCATACCGGTTCGAGGATCTGCGTTCTGGATAAATTTCTGCTTTACGCATTGGATAAACAGGTCGTCTAGACCTCCGGTCATCGGTTTATGACAGCTGTTTTTGTATGCTATGATTGCCGATTGCACTAAACTGCACTTCCATACGCATTCCTGAGGACCGATGGGTGGGAGGTGGGTGGGCGGTGAGGGTGTGTAGACAAGGTCTGTATGCAGAACACGGACGGCCGGAAAAGGCAGGAGGGTCAGCCGATGCCTCTTCAAGCCCAACGAGGTCATCGTCTGTGACCAGTTGTCATATGCATATATGCATCTGTGTGAATGTTTGTGTGTACGTCTGTATTCGTGTTGTGCACATGTGTGTGTGTGTGTGTGTGTGTGTGTGTATGTATGGTAGCAAGAAATTTGAGCAGTTCAGACCAATGCATATTGGATACACTCATCAGAACACAATAGAGCACCATAAGTCGCATATCAACTTTCACGAAGAGAACTGGTTATCCTCGTCTACGAAGCATAACTCACCTGTTCCCCCTGCCTAGAAGCCTCCACATACCGGTTTCACAGGCCTCGCTCTCCTTCCTACAGGTCCGCCCCGCCTCCAAAATGGAAGCCACTCTCTCCTTATCTTCACTCTTACTTTTTCTCTCTCTGTCTCTCTCCAATACATGTAGATCCGCTTTAACTGCGAGACGAAATTTCTTTTCTCAAACGCAACTACTAACAGACCAAATCACCTCATATCCACCCGCCGTCTAGGTCGGATGGATTAGCTTGATTTCTTGCACTCCGGAGGGGACTAGCATTGCTTTGCCTAGTTCGCTCGG